GTCAGGGCTTAAAGCAGGAACTCTGTGTAAAACAACAGCCTCTCATGTTTAATGCAGGTAAATTACATTTTTTTTTCTGACCTCGTTCGCCAAAGAATTTCCCTTACCTCAGGACCTATATCTAAATGTTTTATGTCTCTGTGCTTAGTCATACTTCAGTTTCTATTGTTTAATGTAATTCACTATTTTCAAAGTTAAAAATAAATCTTCTGAATGAGGAGCCCATCCTGCAGGGAGCCTGTGCTTTCTTTCCTCCAAATCCTGCCTGGTACGGTTCCCTCTGCCTCACCCCGCCCTGGCCACCTCCTCACTATTTCCACACATTTTACAATTTCAACTAGAAAATTTGAGGTGGAGGGAGTCACGCCAGAGTTTCTTCCAACGTAAAACAGAATCGGTATTCCATGAAATTCTAGTGACTCCTTGCATTTCAGCTTCTTCTAGATTTTGCTGATTATTAAATGGAAGCTGACCCTTCTCTGCAATGCTGTAGTTTGTCATCCCAGGACCATCACTTTTGGGAGCATAACAGTCATAAATAATAATAAGCACTCAGTACCCAAAACCTCAGATCATAATCATTCAGTCCTTGATGTGAGATTCAGATGAGGAATTCAAAGGGCTCAGTTTTTATGGGAGAGGCTCCTTACCCAAACTCCTTCCTCTCATTCCACTACCTCAGTTCTTGGAACCATTTCATGGCCCTGGTCCTGTCTACTCTTAACATTCAGCTTCCAGGAAAGGTTACTCTCTTTCTACTGCCTCAGTTTCCACCACTGGATGGAAAGGAATGTGGAAAAATTAGAGATAGAGCTGGCTGAGAGGCAGCAGCTGTTCGTGTCCTAGACTAGCCAACAGATCAAGTATCCCGGAACTCAGCTGCCGAAGTGAAGTCCTCTGATACCTGTCTCTCCTGCCTCCCTGAATAGAGGCAGTACTCAGCCCTGGGGTACATTTCACTGAGCTGGAGAAAGCACCCTGCTCCAAAGGAGAAGGCAAAGACAATAGTTTGGCCATAGTTAAGAACTACTTTCCCAGACTTCTGGTGGGTATTCAGTATCTGAGATGCAGCAAAGAGCCAGCTCCTCTACATCCTCTGTCCCACTTGGGGGTTCTCGGACCGTGTGTATCTAAGGTAAGGTTGAGGCTCCACTATTTCTCTAGATACAGTCTTAATCATTACAAATACCACTTACCTACTGTTCTCCAGTAAAAAAAAAAAAAGTACTTAATGTTCTCATAAGAACTTGAAGCACTAATTAGTTAATATCACACTCCCTGCTGAATTTTGTTCCACATAATGATGTCTTCAGTCATTACATCCTGCATCATTTAAGAGCAGTAAAATATCACAAATTATGCTTATAGGCATGAAGTGGTAAAGTATACTCAGTCTGCCGCTGCTGAGCTTGGTAGAGCCTTTCATTGCAACTTGAGTACAAGATCATGTCACACTAACTGGGTTAAGCCAGATGGATCGCACCATCAGTGCCGCCACAGAACATGGACAGCTGCCTGGATTTCACAGTGAGGTCCTGGGTAGCTCATGGAGGAATGACTGTACCTTGCTTCCTTTTGTTTTTAATACTGCAGCTATATATCTTTAATGTACCATATCTGTGTGTGTGTGTGTGTGTGTGTGTGTGTGTGTGTGTGTGTTTGTGCTCACACACATGCTCACTGGGGACTGAACCCAAGAGCTTACTGATAATGTTAAGCACA